AAATAAAGTCCCCTTAATAAAATTAATCCGACCATACACGTCCTAATAAAAAACAGAAGCATTGAATGTACCCCAAAAAAACAAAAACTGAAGCATTGAAATTTGAATGGGACCTGGTTAGTTTGGTTAGCAAAATCAGCCATAAATTGTTCCTTTGGTCAAAGGGTAAAGTAGAAAAGTTGGTATTCTTGACTTTCGGACGACAACATTCTCCCCTACGCCTTTTACGTGTACATTTTAGATTGCATGCTTTATGAAAGAAGTCATTGACCTAATGATTAATCCACGCACATGGTAAAATCAGAATCATGGATATTGCCCCATTTTCTCCTTACCACCATTTTAATATGGTAATGGCCTCGACTACTTTAGTGGCAACTTTAATTAGTTGTATTTTGTAATCTCTCTCCCAACTAAGTGGTTGCAACATGAATATTCCTCAAATAAACAATGTCTATCTAATTTTCGAGTTTCAAATTCGATAGTTACGTAACTTGAAGTTCATCACGCTGTGGTCCAGTAGCCACGCTCTCTGTTTGAGATCAGTGAGGGCACATCAGGTGCAGGGTTCTAGCCCTGGCTTTTCTATTACCTTATCCCCAATTTACCCAGTTGAGAAAAAAAAAAATTACTTCGGTGATTTCATAGGCTGCCTGATCCGTATTTTCAACTAAAACTGCAATTTTATATTGGGGTTTTTTCTTTTTCTTTTTCTTTTTTTTTTAATTGGGCATATTAATATTTTTGTATTAATTTATATAAAATTATTTAAATTTAATTTTAATTTAATTTTAACAATCATCTAATCAAAAGTTTTTATGTGACATTGATGATAAAATTAAAGTGAACCTTTGTTATATTTTTTAATAATAATTCCAAGGCAAGAATGATGTCATTTTCTTTTAACGCCTTTAATGTTTCACAGAATACAATAGAGTTCATTAGAATCTTGTTTAAGAAACTTTTTTTTTCTTAAGCTTGAGTCCAACTTTTTCTGTTTTAATTAACAAATCCAAATGGAATATATATTATTAAAGAGTATAAAGAATGGAAAATGATGTGTGCACACCTTCACATAAAAAAAAAATGGACTGGGTGTTCTCATTTTTTTTTTGTATGTGGAGAGGTGCACACCTGGGTGTTGGATCCGGGTGTGCACCAATAATGATCCATAAAGAATACTCCAAAACGAAGTATAATCTTGATTTAAGTCTCAAATGCAGTCACTTCACAAATAAATAAACTAATTCAATGTTGCCTAATGCAACTAAAAAATAAAATAAAATCAACCCATACTTCTGTTTAGCAACTATTAACTTTCCAAACTTCTATGTACTATGATATTGAACAATGGCTTCTTTAAACTTCATAGACCTTGATATTCATTATTAATAAAAGAACACACAACTTATTTCTTGATTTTTGAGCCATAGAAAATATTTTGCTTGTATAGACTCCAACATCAACTCCTCAAACATCATACATATCCCAAACACCTTCATATTCCTCTAATACCGAAGAAACCAAGTAACAACTAAAAAAATGAATGCACCTAAATCGTTCACACATCCCCCACTTATGCCATGCAACACAAACTTTGCCAACCCAACGATATCATTTGGCAAAACATCCCTCAAACCCCACCACCCCAAAACCTTCATCCATACTAACCACGTCCCTTTAGCTTGAGTTCAAGTTTAGCTCACTAGTAACTCAATTCATTAACAACTCTATTGGGTAGGTGGCAAACTGCCTTTGTTGTCTCAATCCGAACACTTCACCAAGCAATTCAATTGGTATGAGTGATATAATATATATATATATATATATATATATGAGTTGGGACCTATTTACACACAAATTTTACATATTACACTTATATAAAATCTGGACCATTTATCCCTCCATTTTCATTTAAAGAGTTGTTACAAATCTCAACCATTGAAGGTGAAGAGATAAATTGTTAAGATTTGGTGTAATTGTAATGCATAAAACTTGTGCATAAGTTGATCCTTATTCATAAATAATTATCTTAACCATTGAAAATGGAAAGATTAATGGTTAAGATTTTATGTAAGTGTAGTGTGTAAAATTTATGTGTAAGTGATCCTTATTATCTATGGAAAAAGTGTTATGTAATCCAAACTATTTTAGACTACACAACTTTAACTATTGAATTGGGGGTCTTTCCCCCAATCCAATAACTCATGTTTTATAGCTTAGCATAATCTGAATTGTAAACTAGAAAACTCTATATAAATCTATATTGAGATTTTGTATGCTGTTTTTTTTTTTTTTTTAATAACCAGTAGCTTTACCAATGACTTAAGATATCAATGATAATCTTATTTTAATAAAAATAAGAAATCTTAATTTGAGGCACAACACATGCTAATGAGTTGAGTTAAGAGAAGGGTTATATGAAATATCTTTAAAGAGTCATTTCCTCTAAATCAATTAAATTAAGATAGGAGGGAAAGCAAAGAATGGATGTCATGTGGAATTCTTCTGAGAAGAGATAATCATACATCATTGTAAGGGCAGTTATACGCGAGACGCAAGGCAGAGCTCAGAGTCTACCGCACCTCGGCTCTCTCTCGCAAGTACATGGCGGTCACAATAAGCACGCCCTCACCTGATCATTAGTCCTTACCTAAGTACCCTTTCTCAAGGGACCTGCTCCGTTAGAATACATCACGCACATTTAATGCGATTGCTCCGTTAAGGCACGTTACATTCACCTAAAACGTCTACTCCGTCAGGCATACCATGTCACCATTATTGGGTTGACTAGGCCACATGGGTGTGGACAAGCCACGTGGGTAAGCCACGTGGGTACCTTGCCAAGATGGACAAAGCCCACAAGGAAAGGTACGATAAATAGACGGAACAAAAAAGGAGAACATTCATTAGAAAAATACTGACTTAAGCATTGGAGTTTCTACCTGAGGAACAACTTCAGGATTTTGCAGGACCACTTGGAGAAAAATCACATTGAAGGAAGATCTTGAAGGTTTTTCAGCGACAACAATCATCCGTGACAACAGATGAAGAAGACATAAGCAGGAAATTTGCAAATGGAATTATCTAATTAAATTAATACAAGGACTAGGAATTCTCTTTCAAAAGTGGGGCAAGCTAGTAAACTCGTATATAGGGAAGTTAGGTTTGGGCCAACATCTTGAAAATGTTGTTACCTTCTGTCAAATATCTTTGAAGGATCCATCATTGAAATTGTGTTGGACATTAACCCTTCAAGTGGGGCTTGTGGTCACCAAACTATGATGGGACCAACGGGATAGGAATCATGTAAACGAATAAATAATACGTATGTGAATGAATCTTCCACAGAATATTATGAACGTATCTGATCTGCATATATCTCTGAATTATCTCAGTTGATCAGTTGATGGACTATAATAATTATTCAAGGTCTTGTAGCCAACTCTTCTCATTAAAAAGAGTCATTACAGAACTTCAAAACTTCAAGGAGCTTCTCCTCAACTCGATACGGAAATGGGGTTACGAGTCAAATTAAATTTGGAGTAACCTGACCATGGGAGAGTTTAAACTAAGGCTTCGCATCACTTGGAAACAGAGAAAAGGTCCAAAAGAAGAGAAATCTCCAACCTTGAGTGAAAAATTATGAAACGTTAAATGAGAGAACAATTTCAGAAATGAAAAAGTCTTCAATAATAGGTTAATTGATATTGGAAGAATTATTGATTCTATTTAAATGAAGACTTATCAATGTCTAAGAAATAGAGCGAAGAAATGGAAATGTTCAATATCTTATTGGATTCTAAACCCAAGGGCATGTGTGAGTGTGAGTAGTATTTGACCAATTGAGGTTCCTTGATATCTGCAATTATTGACTATTTTGGGCCTATTTTGTGGTTGATGTCAATTACTTTGTAAATAAGTTTGAGTATCTCTTGTACTTAATAAATAATTTTTTTTTAAAAAATAATTTTTTTAATAAATCAAAAAATTTTATTTTCATTGGTACAAGGGTATCCAAACCCATTAACATTCTTAAAAAAGACAACTCCTAATCGCATCCTTAACGGTAAAATCGCACTTAATGGAACACTATTATCGTTTCAAGGCAACTCTCGGATCAGATTTCCATACCTCAAATGACTAAGAACCAAATTTGCTCGAACCAAGTTAAATTATGAGGGAATAAATATACAAATTAAATTTTATTTTAGGAAATAATTGGTATATAATCAATTTGATAGACTTTTGAACATCTATTTAGTTTAATTATTAAAAATATAATATAAGTATGAAAAATTCAATCGAATCTTGCATCTTTTGTGTTTGGTTACAATTTAAAGTTTGTCTTTTTTTAATTTTAAATCAAAAAATTAATTTTTTAATAAATTATGTATTATACAAAATATTGAACCATGCTTCACCTTATATATACCATTCTGTGTAACACCATTAATTAGGAATCATCAACATTTTGTCTCGCACTTAATTTCTTTGAATGCGCAAGAAAATACAGATGCACCGTTAAAATCATCTAAATTTACAAAAAGGATTTCTTCAACTCTTTTTCCAGGTTGTTCTGTTGGTCGGGGTGATCCAAAAACAAATGATGGCTTGGTTGGGCAAGCCATTATTTGTTGGAAATGATCCCTCTCTTCAAGATCAGATAAAAATCCCGGGATGTGAATATTATTCACAGGCTCTTTCTCATTTCTGAAGGGTCTACAATACACTTAATCAAATTCAGAATTATAAACAAATTATTAGTCCTCATGATACAAATATGTTCACATAAAAAATAAGAAAACTCACAAAGATTTTACATGCACAAAATCCTCTAAAAATTCATACGCGATACCTCAATTTTGTCTCTTAAAAAAGTGATGGCTTCTCCTCCCACTAGTTTCTGTTTTTCTTGTAAAAACTTAGATACTCTATTGACAAATCAATAGGTCTTATGTATAGTTAGACTAGAATTATAAATAGCATGTTGCTTGAGACACTTTTTGGAATCTTAATCTCTTAGCAAATTGAATTTAAATCAATTTAGGATTGTAATTAAAAACTCATCAGTAGATAACAATCTTATCCAAGAAATTATAGATAAAATTGTGAGATTCCTCAAACTAAGATATTTATATAGTAGTCCTCCACCAACAAATATTCCATATAAAATCTAATCGAATTAGAATTATTATAAAACTGTCATATAAAATTTGTATGTGTGTCTCTTAAATATATTTGGACAATAAAAGCAATTTAGAAAATAAAATTTTGATAAAATTTAATTTTCTAAAACTAAGTTAAAATATTATTTAAATTGACCAGCTGGATTTTTGTCTAATATAAAAAAGACACAAACTTGAATATTCTCGCTTACGATAACAGTGGTGGTTCCTTATTAGATGACTGTAAATTTTCATGTAATTATTCTATAGTCCAATATGTCCGTATATATCCCATCTATTGGGCATCACCGGTTGACAATATTAAAACTAAATAACTTATACATAAAATTAAATAACATCTTTAGGTCTAAAGACTTTTTATAAATTGTGAATAAAATAATCTTTTATTTGATAGTAAATAACTTAAGATTATTCTATATGGTCCAGTTCAATATTTGTCTAATATAAATACTCACTATATTACTAAGAATCTCACTTTAGTGGTTGAAATTTACCACTCTATCATTTATGGTAGTCCAACATGTGACAACCAAGTTAAGCATATTATCCAAAGTATGCTTATGGTTGTGAACAATTTTAAAATCTTCAAACCTTTTATTTGATCATCCCCATAATCAATTTAATTAATGTATGATCTAAGGATAATAACATTTATTAAATCACTCAAAAAAAATGCAAGTAAATAGATAAATCACTACTAAAATCCTTAGTTTCAGCAACATGGAAGCATGTTGCTGAAAGTGGTTCCCATGTTGCTGAAAGTCCTTCAGTAACATGGGTTTGCTTGCTAAAAGTTTTGTTGGAGAAGGCTTGGTGGGTAATACATTACCAACCAAAATCATGTTGCTAATATATCAGCAACATAGCTTATGTTGCTGAAAAAAACAATATCAGCAAATTGCAACATAACTTATGTTGCTGAAAATTTTCACCGAAATCCGGTGACTGGTGGAGGAGAAATTTCTCACCCCCTTTAGCAACATAGGCCACATTGCTAAAGATGGAGTTTCAGCAACGTGGCTCATGTTGCTAAAAATGAGTGGTAAACTGGTGAAAAAAATGGAAATCCGCCATTATAATTCAGCCTCATTTTCAACAACACAAGTCACTTGTTGCTGATAGTTTTTTGAATTTTCAGTAACATGATTCTTGTTGCTGATAATCTAATGAATAGTTAGCCCATGTACTTTCAACAACAAGACTCTTGTTGCTGATAATCTAATGAATAGTT